TACAAACCTGAATGGGCCACATAAAAATACAAGTTTTGATGACTCACAATATTTTTTTACATTTATTGATGACTATATTAAATGCGCGTTAATTTATACAATAAAATTAAAGTCAGAAGTTTGTGAATGTTTTATCGATTATATTAATAAAGTTGAAAATATTACCGGGAGAAAAAGATAAAAAGATTGAGATGCGATAACGGAAAAGAATATTTAATTAAAGACGTTTATAATGTTATAAGAGATAAAAAAAATTTGTTAGAATCTTGCTCTCCATACATAAATGATAAATACAATTCAGCCAGATGTTTATTCTATAAAGCTAATTTAAATCGTTAATATTGGCCGGAGGTAGTTAAAATAGCAACCTATTTGAAAAATAGAACAATCGCAAATACTATTAAAAATAAAACATCTTTTCTTTTAATATGAAACTTAATATTAGTAATTTGTGGGCGCGCGCGATTATAGGGTAGTAAAGTCTTTGTAAGAGTACTAGAAATAAAAATAAATACGAAATGGGATAGAAAAGCTCTCTGACGTAGGAATTTTATTAATATATGATCATGTTGAATACAGAATTTTAATAAATAATAAAATAGTCAGAAGTAGACATGTTGACATAATTGAAAATGATAAAAATTTAATTGGTTTCCAAGAAGATGAAAATAGCGATGATGATAATGATGACAATTTTGAAAATGATAAAAATTCCTATGATGAAAAGAAAAATTCTTTATCGAACGAAAGTGATGAAACAATAGAATCAAATGAAAAATCTAATGGTGATGTGAACAAAATTCCAAGAAGATCCAAGTAAGAAAGAAAGAACCCTGATAGGTATAATGCAAACGTTGCAAATTCAAATTATATTTATGTTAATGCCGTAAGCGCAAGTAACCCTTTAACTTATGAAGAAGCGATAAACTGTAATGAGAATCATTTATAAGAAGAGGCTATGAATAGAGAAATAAATTGTTTCATTAAAAAAATTAAACGTGAAAATTAGTTGAAAGGCCTAAAAATAAAAAAATATTTAATTAAAAATGAGTATACAGCAATAAATCTGATAATCGAAAGAAAGGTTTTCAACAAAGTTAAGTATTGGAAGATATATATATTTACCAGTAGATAAAATACACAAAAGATTACTTAAACCAGTACATATATGTTTAAACAATATGAAATATAAAGAGAGTGAATTAGACTATTAAAATAATTGTTAATTAATCGATTGAAATATATATTGTAATCTAAAAATATTGATTTACCATTTGATGGCTCGACATCTCCTCTTAGACTGACACGTTGTCATATAAAAAAGTTTTTTTGTCGAATATTGTTTATGTGCCCTTCCGAACATTGTGCATGTGTGTAACGAGAATTTTATTTGTAATAAAGAGAAATTAAGATTATAACGTTTTGGTTTTAGCATTTTTACATTTTTATGTAATTGTTTAAACTAATGTACATTTGTTTTAACGTCACTGTGCAGTGATGACTTCGGGTACTAAAATTTCCATCCAAAAGAATATCAAATTAAATAAATTTTATATTAATGATCATGCAAATGAATGTAGAAACAGCTTTTTTAAACGGTTATGTAAAATTAGAAGTATATGTATGATAATGGAACAGATAAAGTATATAAATTAGAAAAAGCATTGTATATGGTTTCAGAGAAAGTCCGAGAGCTTGGTATGAGTGTTTCGATGATTATATCAAAAAATTAAATTCACAATTCCTGTCATTTTCTCGTAATGCATCTACCAGATCAACGATATAACTTAGCGAGTCTGGTAATGTTCTCAACATATAGTTTAATTTTTCTCGTTCATCAACTTTATTCCATCTGCATTTTTTAATTCATTAATCGTTTTTTCGAACTCTGCGATAAATGAACTGGAGTCCTCAAAATCTTTCAACTCGATTCTCTCTATGATAGTTTATTTCTTACACATATTTTGTAGAACCGATAATTCTTTTAAGTATAGATCGTCCAATTTTTTCATAATTTCCAAAGCCGTATTTTTTTCACTCACAAATTCTAATTGTTCATTTGAAATACTACAATAAATATAGTTCATTGCTTTCAGATCTTGTTCATCCCGGTCTGCTTGTTGTTCGTTTTCTCTGTTTTCTCTTGTTGTAGGCTCATCGCATTTTTTCTATTTTAAAAACAATAATATTCTTTTCTTCCAAATACTATAATTTTTACCATCAAATAGTTGAATTTCGACGTCGTCATTGTTGGCCATTTTGTCTGTGTCTATTTCTAAATTTGTTTTCTTATCTTCCTACTTTGTTTCTTCTTTCTGTTGATTTAATCCTTGATCACTGCGTTGATTTTCTAATTCTTCCTTATAGACTATTATTTTAAATAATAAGCTAATATGCTTAAAAGTAAATTTTATTATCGTCTAAACTCAGAGTCCTGGCAGCCACTTGACCCAGGCTCCGCCAGTTGAAGGGAAAAATTCTTTGAAATCTTCAAAAAAATAAAGTTCCTGTCTAAATAAAAAAAAGAAATTAATATAATATATTATGTAGTTTCTTCTAAAAGATAACTTGTTTATTCTCTTTTTCTTCTATTTGACTATGTATTGTGCTAATAGATAATTGTTATATAAACAAAATAAATTAGACGAATTGCATGACGCGCGTATGTCGATTAGTTTTAATTATTTAAAATAAAAAACATAGTTTTTCCTATCTTCTTGAAATGTGTAAATCTCATTATAATTAGACCGTCTGAGTGTCTAGTTTAATCGACTTTATAGTGGTTTTTGTATTTTTATCTCCATTGATGTTAAGAAAATATATTAAAATGCCGAAGTGGCATCAAACTCCTTTATATATAATAACCAATAACTAGATATATATATCGATAGATAAATATTATTATTAGATTTATATTTTTGTAACAAATCATAAACTATATTTTATCACTTTAAGTTGTTTATAAGATATTTTTTACTTTTGTAATGTATGACAAAAAGAAATTAAAATAAAAACATACTTTTTCAAATTAAACAATTTAATCGACTCTATCATAATAATTTTACGGACTAAAAGTGTATAAGCAGCTTGACTATCTTTTTGTTTGATAAATATGTTTATTTCATTCTCTGTAATTCGACAAGTAAAGTCGTTTGTGCAAATTTGTAATAATTAGTATATAACTAGGGTTTTTATTGCACAACTTACACAGTTATTTACAACATTTGTAATAATTAGTTATAAATTAGTTTCTACATTGGCAACTAAGTGAGTGCGTATTTTAAATAAGAAGGAAATTTCCAAATTTTTACTGAAAAAATATAATTCTATTCAATTAGGTACTGTCCGTTTTTATCGATGACCTTTTGCCATCGTTCAGGCAGTGTCATAATTCCGCGTTCATAAAATGTCTGATCTTTGCTATTAAAAAACTGAATTAAATGCGATTTGACATCATCAACGTTATTAAAAATTTTACCATTTAAGGAGTTTTGTAAGGAACGAAATAAATGGTAATCTGAAGGCTCAAGGTCAGGGCTATATGGTGGATGTGACAAGACATTCCAACCCAGTTCCAATAATTTTTCGCGAGTGACTAAAGATGTGTAAGACTTTGCATTATCATAGTGAAAAACAACAACCTTACAATTTGCCAATACTGGCCGCTTTGCTTCAATTGCATCGGCCAGTTTGGCGAGTTGTTGAATGTATACGTTTGAATTGATCGTTTGATTATTTGGTAAAAGCTCAAAGTACAGAATTCCTTTATAATCCCACCAGACTGACAGCATAATCTTTTTTTGATGAATCTCTACTTTTGATGTCATCTGGGCTGATTCATCTTGCATCTCCCACGATCTCTTTCGATTAACATTGTTATAAACTATCCATTTTTCGTCGCCAATAATTAGTCTTTTCAGAAATGGATCAATTTTGTTGAGTTTCAGAAGCGAATCGCAGATGCTAATGCGTTGCATCAAATGAATTTTCTGAAGCTGGTGTGGGATCCATAAATCGAGTTTCTTGACATAGCCCAACTTTTTTAATTTTTTTTCAATACATGTATGCGATACATTGAGCTTTTCTGCAATATCACGTGTTGTGCTATGACGATCTGAATCGATAATGGCCATGATACAGTCCTCATTGACTTTAACTGGACGACCAGATCGTTGAGCATTTTTCAATGAAAAATCACCAGAACGAAATCTGGCAAACCAATATTGACACTGCCTTTCTTTTAAGGCTTCATTGCCATATACGGCACATAATTTCTTTTGTGCTTGCGATGCATTCTTACCTTTTCGGAAATAATACAATAAAATATGTCTGAAGTGCAAGTCTAGTTCTTCCATTTTTAAATTGAGATTAACACAAAACTAAAGAATTAATTGATATAATTTAAAATAAATAAAAAAATATAGATTAGGGGTTTTGAACACGTTAACGACACAATATAAAGTATCAAAACCATCTATCGACAAAATCCGCAATCACTTAGTTGCCAACCCAACATATTATAAATTAGTTGTTTAAATTACGACCAATGGTATCAACCGTCAGCAGCGCCACGCTCATTTACTCATGACACATTAACAGTCACTCATTGGTCTATTCACTTAATTGTAAATTCACTCGTTATTTCGTTTTTCTATTTTCTTACTCATAATTCATTACAGTTTGCACTACATCTATGCGATTCACATGCTCATAAAGATTATATGTAAGGAGAACAATCGGGATAGGTTTTTCTGCTGTTTGAAATATTGAAAAAAGCATACAAATCATAGTTTATTTATGTCCACCAGGCGGCTGTTGTGTTCCAAACTTTTGGCTCTGTACTACGCATGATAATTTTCAGATGTTATAAATGAATTTTTATAAATTGAGGTTATGATAAAATAATAAAACTTATAACATATTTTCTATAAAATATAATTTTTAAATAATATTAAATAATACAAATTTTTAAATAATATTAAGTGGTTTAATAATTTTTACTGAGTTATTTAATAATAAATATGGCGAAGTGTTGTTCTTTTATAAGTTGTAAGAGTGATAGTAAATCAGAACGAAAAAAAAATAACGATTTCAACATCCGACAAACTTCTTTTCATAAAATTCCAAAGGTAAGCTTATAAATTTTATTTACTATTATTTTAATAATATTCGTTTATTGTGGAGATATTAAAAAATTCAGCTATTACTTTTACATGATATGTTAAATTTCATGTTATAAAACATTTATTTTCTTTTACTCAGGATCCTAACAAGTTAAAACAATTGAGCTGAGGATTATGTCAAGATTTAGCTCCCGAAAAATATGTCTGTGAATTGCATTTTCACAACAAGGATATACTTAAAAGTAATAATATATTACTATCTAATTGTATAATACATACTTCAAGTAAGGAAGAAATATACATTGAAGCAAGACGAAGTCTCTTTTTTAAACGTAAATGTAGTAATTATTTACCAAAATTTTTGTGGTTTACAAAGTGAGTATGATCAGTAATAATTGTAATTGAACGAATTGACTTTTCTTATAGAATGTTCCTGCATCTGAATTGTTTCTGAATCCTAAGCAACAAACATGTCAGGAAAAACACAACAAAACTCATGTTCAACCATTATTTTTGTTGAAAACGGTCAAGCAAGTTTACCAAATTGTGACGCAAAATGAAGATTCGAGTTTGAAAAACAATTTTGTGAAATTCACAAATGATAATTTACTCCAAATTTTAAACACTACGATGTTACCACCAAAAAGGAGCTGGATCTTTGATGTTATAAATTCTCAAAATATTTTTTTATTTTTTATAAATCTAAAACCTTTAACATTAAAACTTCACGTAAAAATTCATGGAATTTTGAAAATCAAGGTATTTTATTGATATAATGAAAATGTATTTATTTTATTATAACTAACATTCAATATTAAGAGTAACATATAAATATATGTTTTCTGACATATAGATAAGAAATATGAAAACCAACATATCTACAGATTTTACTTTTAATCCTTCAAGTATCGATGTGATTTTTGGAACTTATTAAAAGAGATGAAAAGTAGTCATTTTCGTAGTGGGAACTGGATTTGATATTAATAGGTATTAATTATTTAAAAAAATAGTATTTAATACTATATTTTTCTGATTTTAACTATGATGTTAATATATCATTTAAAATTTTTAATTTATATGTTGTAATTTCTCTCTCTGTTATATATTTAAAAATCAATCTTATAAAAAAACAATTTTTGTTTTATCTATGTCATTTTAAACTTCTCAATGTCTGAAATCAGATTTTTTTTAACAGATGTTCTACAACGTATACTAATATAATGTTGCCAAATGAAAAGATTCAACTGTGTAAAGGTGTGTATCGATGTCAAAAAAGTTAAAAATTCAAGAGAGCGAAGATACAATATAGAGTAAGTATATTAGTGTCTTCTAATTAGAAATAAAAGCTTTAGAGTATATTTACAAATTTACTCTAAAAAAAAATTTAATATTTTAAAGTAATTTTTACAATACTGATATATTTTATGAGTATACTTAATTATTAACTGTAAAAAATTATTTTTCACGTAACTATTGAATTGTTTTTTCTTCCGCTTTTAGCTTTATCTCTAGATTTGCTTGAGTGTCTTTCTTTTTATCAATTTTTCAATCACTTTTAAATAATTACTCTTTAAATACTTTGTAGTAGTGTTTGAATAAAATTCATTTAAAACATTTTAAAATACATTTTTTATCAGGCATACTTCTTATTGATAAAATAGCTTTAAGTAAAGAGGTAAAAGGAGCTCACACGTCAAAACATTTAATGAACACTAGAGCCGATCATGATTTAGTTTTTATGTTTCAGCCTTTCCAAGGTGACTGGGTACAAGTTGTTGGAAGTTTCTTAAGTAAAATTACAGTGACTCACTATTCTACATAAGCTATTTATAGAATGCGTACTGCTACTTGAAAAATCAGGATTTCACGTTGATTGTATAATATAATGGAACCACAGAGCATGAAAACTGTTTGGAATAGAAGATTATAAATTTTGTTATGAGTATCCCTTTGAGTCTAATAATTGCTGATGGTTTGTGACCTACTTTCCAAATTTCCTGAAATGTTTGAGAAATAAAGTAATTGATACTCCATCTTTTTGGGTAAGTAATTGAATAAATGATTAAAAAGTCGAAATCGTGTAAATATAATTATTAATTTAAATAAAATTTTATACAGACTCTCTTAATGGTATAAAAATGCTTCACTAGCAGGCACTCTTAAACCTCGAAGTATACGGAAAAATGAATGTACTTCTTGGAATGCAAGTATGTTGTACATTGTTATTAGCAATTGATAATTTATTTTTATATTTTTTATTCGTAACATTACAAGTTTGAATTGCTTTTTATTTATATTTCTTACTTCATACAAATTAATCCATCTAATTTAATTTTTATTCAAATAAAAGTACTAGTATCATAAAAACAAGTCCTAATATTAGTAATGCATCTGAATTTAAGGATGGGGATAGGGACAAGGCAGAAAATTATAGAGGAGTATCGTTATTGGATGTGGGTTACAAGGTATTAACAAAGATGATGACAGAAAGATTAAGTGGTTGGATAGAAAAACACAAAAAGCTGAAGGAAAGCCAGGCGGGATTCAGAAAGGGAAGAGGTACTAGGGATCAGATTTTTACATTAAACGCAATAATAAATAATAGATTGAAAGTGAAAGGTGGGAAGCTGTATGTGGCTTTCATTGACTTCAAAGCAGCATTTGATAGGGTAAACAGGGAAAAGATGATAGTGAAGTTGAAGGATAAAGGGATAGAAGGTAGAATGATGGAGACAATAAAAGAGATTTATAGGGAAACGAGAGCGGAAGTACAGACTCAGGGGAAAATTACGGAAAGCTTTAGAACAGAACAGGGAGTGCGGCAAGGTTGCGCGCTAAGCGCAGTCTTGTTCGACTTGTATATAGATGATCTGGAAGAAAGATGGATGGCGAAGAATGAAGGGGGAGCAGTAATAGGGAGGCAAAAAATATTTGCGATAAAGTATGCGGATGATGTTGCGGCGTTGGCGGAGACTGCGGAAGGGTTGAGAAGTATACTAAAGGATTTGGAAAAATGGGCACAGGAAAACAAGATGAGAGTAAACGAGAAGAAAACAAAGATCATGATTTTCAGAAACGGAGGTAAGGTTAAGAAAGGGGAGGAATGGGAGATCAATAA